GAATATATAATACTAATGTAATTACTCAAACAGTATAAGAGAACAAAGGTTTAAAGATAATGAAAAGAAAACTAACACAAAGTAAAAAACAAATATACAAGCTATTTATTTATTTATCGTATGGCAATTACAACACATTTAGAACAAAATTACAAACACTAGTAATATAGGTATATGACAAACTTTAAATAGTTACAAACAATATAAAAGCTGAGAGATAAAGACGAAAAGGCAACAACAAATAAACAAAACATTCTGAAAATAACCAGAGACTAGTAAAGTAAAGACTCTCATAAATCAGGGATCGGAAATACTTTTACCCATTACTGTCAGAAGTAAGAGCAGCTTTAAAAGAAATGAAGTACCATCAATCGCCTGGTGATAATGGACTCGTTATTGAGGCAATAAAAGCAGGAGGAGAAATTCTATTAAAATCAGTAAGCGAAGTGTTTAATAAATGCTTACATGCGGGTACGATTCCAAAAGACTGGAACAATGCAATGATAGTCTTGTAATACAAAAAAGGCGATATTACTAAATTAGAAAATTATAGGCCCATCAGCCTCTTGTTACATATGTACAAACTCTTTATGAAAATCTAACAAAGAGACTAACACCTATACCACTGGTTCTTGCGTTTGTCGATTACGAGAAGGTTTTTGATTTTGTAGAGTTTGAAACAGTACTGGAAGCCCTAAATCAAGGTCAGGCAAAGATCAGGAGTTCAATACGGCATTGAAAGAACCACGACACTTAAGTGGAACTGGGCAGGGCACTCAGCCAGAACACAAGATGGACGGTGAACAAGACGTATTATGGAATGGAGGCCCAGAAACTATAAAAGAAACCGAGAACGACCACCGACTAGATGGACCGATTATATAAAACGTGTAGCGAGAAACTGGCTACAAGCGGCCCAGTGTAGGGAACACTGAAAAGAACTGAGGACGGCCTATGACCAGCAGTGGACGCGATTGGCTGATTGATGATGATGAATAATGATGATGATGATAGTGTGTTTGGCATGGAAACTAGTCCTTTTGCCACAGATTTTTAAATGATTTATGTTATGTTTATCAATTAAAAACTTGATTGTACTAAATTTATATTATATATCCGGATGCATATAAGTGATTACATATGAGTTCGTATATAGATTTCTGATTCAATGACAGTAGGTGGGTTATGTTTACTGGAAGTTGCACATTACTTTTAACCAGGTTTTCATAAAACGTAGATGAGAGTGCTTTATTTTTAATACATCCAAACAGGATGTGATTAACATCACACTGGGAAATATTATCGCATAAACACTTTCCTGATTCTATAATGTTTAATCTAGCCAGGTGAGCAGGAACAGCACCGTGACTAGTTTTTAATCTTGTGATAGTTGCTGCTGATCGTTTAGATATATTATAATGGAATATGTGTGGTAATTCTGTTAGGGATGGTAACGTAGGATGGATCTTGTAATAATGATTATTTGAAGTATTCGCCAATATTTTCCATCTGTCTTGCCAGTTAAAATTTATTTTTTTATTATAAAAATTGATTAGGTCTGATACTGTGTAAATATGTTCTTGTATACCTGAATGAGTAGAATTCTTAGCGAGCTCGTCTACTATTTCATTACCTTTTATCCCGGAGTGACTTTTTGCATTGATGAATAATTGGAGGAGAGTATTTTAAAAATGATGCTAAATATCTTCAAAAAGAATAACGCTCTTGACATTTAAGGAGGAGAGTTAAACATCTACATTAGCTTATTTATAATCTACAGTATTTTATATCCAGAATTTTTTTTTTTTGTTCAGCCCATTTATAATTTATGTAAGCAGCTGTTTTGTTGTATTTAAAACTTCATCATCATCATCATCTTGGTGCTACAGCCCTTAGAGGGCCTCGACCTTCTCAAGCTTTCTACGCCATTCTGTTCTGTCCCTTGCTTGAATTTTCCAGTTGCCGACTCCGATCTTCTCCGCATCTTGTGTTACCCCATCCATCCACCTCAGCTTTGGTCTACCCCGTCGTCTCATTCCCACAGGTTGCGCTGTTAGAATCTTTTTTATCATGTTCGATTCAGGGGCCCGGGCTACATGTCCTGCCCACTGCAGGCGGTTTCGCTTAATTATAGTGGTAATATCTTTACCACCAAACGTATGCTTGTAGATATTCTGCAGTTCGAAGTTATATCTACGCCTCCATATTCCGTTCTCACAGACCGCTCCAAATATCTTGCGTAGCACCTTTCTTTCAAAAATGGATAGAGCGGATTCATCTGTTTTCGTTAGCGTCCATGCCTCTGATCCGTATGTGAGAACGGGGACTATCAGTGTTCTATACAGCCTTATACGAGTTTTTTGAGACAGACGTTTGTTAGCTAAGTACTTTGATAGACCATAATAACACCTGTTTGCAATTATTATTCGCCTTTTTATTTCCTCAGATGTATTGTTATTGGGGTTAACCGATGTCCCTAGATATATGAACTCATTGACTGCTTCGAAGTTTTGGTCATTGATGATTAAATTTGTGTCAACATTTCCAGCTCTTGTGTTTGTGTTAGTCGCCATGAATTTGGTTTTATTTTGATTTATATGTAACCCCATTCGTTCTGCTGCTGCTACTAGCTCGGTTAGGATTTCCGCAGTTCTCGCCCTAGTTCTTGTTATAATGTCCACGTCGTCTGCATATGCTAGAATTTGGACTGATCTATTAAATATTGTTCCCCTGCTATCTAAATTAGCGTCTCGTACAACTTTTTCTAAGGCGACATTAAAAAGCTGACACGCCAGCGCATCTCCCTGCCTTAACCCCCTATGTATTTGAAATGGGGTTGACGAGTCGTTTTGAATTTTTACTGCTGATAGCATCTTCGCCATTGTCACTTTTATCAAACATATTAGTTTTTTTGGAATTCCTAACTCATTCATAGCGTTGTAAAGACTTGGTCTTAAGACACTGTCATATGCCGCTTTAAAATCGACAAAAATATGATACATATCTATGTTAAACTCTTGCGCTTTTTCGAGGATCTGTCGTAGTGTAAAGATCTGGTTAATGGTTGAACGTCCAGGCCTGAATCCTGCCTGATATTCCCCTAGAAACATTTCAGTATAAGGCTTTAATCTCTCGTGCAAAATATTTGATAATATCTTGTATGCTGTATTTAGGAGAGTTATTCCGCGGTAATTATTGCATTCCAGTTGGTTTCCCTTTTTGTGTAACGGGCAAATTAAGCCTAAGCTCCATTCTTCTGGCATTTGCTCCTCAGACCAAATTCTACAAACAATTTCTCGCATCACCTTGGTGAGCTGCTCTCCACCGTGCTTAAATAACTCTGCTGGGATGCCATCGCTACCTGGGGACCTATGGTTCCTTAGTTTTTCTATAGATATTTTTACTTCATCTACCGAGGGGGGTTCCACGAGTTCCTCATTTCGGTATTCCAGCTCTATATTGTTAGTAGGTTCCCCTTCCAGCAACTCTCGAAAGTGCTCTACCCATCGTAAAAGGATGTCCTCTTTGTTGGTAAGTAAGTTGCCTTCCTTATCATTACAATAGTTGATTCTTGGTTTAAATTCTTTTCTAATACTATTTATTTGATGGTAGAACTTTCTTGTTTCTCCGTGACTCATATGGCTTTCGAGCCGTTCTAACATGTCATTTTCCGAGTCTCGTTTCTTTTTTCGGTGTATGCGTTTTTCCTCTCTCCTTAAGTTTTTGTATCTATCTATTGTTGTTCTAGTTTTTCGTTGTTGCATGGTCCTAAATGCCTCGTTCTTCTCATCTGTTATTTTTTTGCAGTCTTGGTCGAACCAGTCGTTTCTTTCTTGGGTTCGGGATATTCCCAATGTGCTTTCGGCTGCTAATTTCAGAGCCTCCTTGCAGTTGTTCCACATTTCCGTGCTTGACTGGTCGACTGCCCAGGTGTATTCTAGGGTTTCTTTTATATGTGACTGGAACTGTTTCTCCTTGTTTAAAACTAACTACTATGATTTCCCACACGTTGTTGCTCTTGTTTATATCCCTATAATCGTTATGTGGGGGATTTTAGAGCTCTGGTCTATCAGAAATTAACTCTATGAGTCTAGCATCGTTGTTAACTTACATTCTTAAAATAAAAACACAAATATAAATTTAAAGATTTATACTATAAACGAAAACATTACCTTCTCAATTTTTTATTGTTTTGAGCATTGAACGCATGCAGTCGCTGCAGAGCACTGCTATCATATATGCAGTCGATGAGCAGACGCAAGTGATTCCTTGCGTCAGGTGCATAAGGCAGACCGCTTGTATAAGGTTACCATTTGACGAGTGCACAGCGCAGTGAATGCATGTATTAATCACATACAAGTGCACAGTACAAGTAACTTTAATCAAGTATTCAAGTTTGAAGTGCATTCAAGTTAAGCATTTACACTATTTAAGTAAAATATCTGAACTTGAACAGCCGTTCAGAGAAGAGAAAAAATTGAAGCAAAAAAGATCGTGTGCTGTAACACCAGACTTTTTATGTTTTGCAATTTTACCACGTTCCTGGTAATATGTCGTGGTCAGATTTTTTGTTTTGTTCTTTACATTTACAGGACCAAAATCATCAATTTACTTTCATTTACTGTTAGATTTTATTAATAACAGAAACTATCATTTGTTTTTTTTTTCTATACTGAATACCAGATATATTCTAAAGACATGATTGTTCTTCGTACAACTCTACAAACTTCAATGTTGTCTCCTCATTCCACTTCATATATGTTTAATAAAATTTAAATACTTAAAAATCGACTTCACACGTATTAAGAAGTATTGGTTTGGCCATTGTAGAAGAATGTAGTTAATAGAACCCGCAGATGTCAGCAAGACGCCTTGAAAGGTGATACAAGAAAGACACTGAAACTGTTTATCTGGTAGTGTTATCAGTAAGAAAAATCCACCCGAAGAGAAAGATTCGAAAAACCAAATAAAAACATATTAAAAATTGTATAAAGACGTACCTGTGTGGACATATTCTGCGGTGGAGGCGAAGTACCAGTTGAAATAGACGCTACATTTCTCGGAGGCCTCTTGTCCTGACTTTCTGACACACACTGTATCACTTCCTTTGTTTGCACTTCACTTGACGTACCAATACTCTTCACAGTTTCTATTTCCTCTTTTGGAACGTTATTATTTTTGTCCACTTCACTTTTTTCTTCACTGCCTGTAAAAACAGGGCTATATTAATCACAAACACACTAAACACAAATTTTAAACATTAAAAACACTACAAAACACAAATGCACACAAGGAATAGGGTTAACCACTATTAAAAGCAGAATAAAAGACATATTTCGGGACTGGGCTAATATGCTTACATTGTCAAATATGTAAATCAACATAATACAGAATATTGTGTTCATTAAAGTGCTCATCGATTTTTCCTTTGTAGTAGACTCTTTTTATTACATTATCCATGATATTTTTTTATTATTTACTTTCTTCCATAACATAATATAATTCTTCTCTGTGTTTCAAAAGACTTGAAACTCCCTTGATGCACTGTTAGTGAACGTCTCTTTGTCCAGTCCCAGAAATAGCCTTTTTGAGTTATTTATTTGATTTTTGAAAGGCGGTAAACTTGGTTCCGGGCCAAAATGATATTTTCCTACTACCCCTACCTTTCTTTGATTCGATCTGCTGGATTTTGGTATCGTTGTCTGATATGGTCAACTTTCCAAGTTTGTTCAACACTGATTCGGTCTCGCTGCAATCTTTACTGAAGTCATCACTTGATACGTTGATGTGAACCTTTTCTGTTTCTTTGGGAATGGAGTCTTCCTTTTTGATTTTTCTTGAAAGTGTAGACGTTTTGCAACAGACCATGCATACTTTGACGCCAGGTTCGTTTACAAATGTACAATGTTCGCATTCCCATTGGGTATCACTAGGAATTTCTTTTGCCTCTTTAGGGATATTGTCGTACTCAGATCCATTTTCATCGTTAACCACGCTAGGTTTCAGACGATTGTTACCTTCTTCTGATAACTCGTCGTCGGTATCACTAGATGGAGTATGCATACTACGCTTGCTTCTGGATACAGACGGCTGCCTCTCTGTAAAACTTCTGCTAGGAATTTCTCTACTGACGCTGTCTCTTTTAGCTGGAAGTCTTCCTCTAGAAGACTTTCTTTCACTATGATGGCTGAAAGTTGATCTTCTATCATCATCATCCTCATCTTCCGTATCTTCAACGTATTTTTTTCTGCTTTTTCTGCTTAGAGTTGATTTTCTGGACTTAATACTTTGCGTAGGAGATCCTGGTCTTGAAGGGGTGTATCCTGGATGGTGTACGTTACTCATAGACATTGAATATGGAGGATACATAGGAACATTGGGTGGATTATGCCATGGTCCCATCCATACTGGATTCATCATATATCCCCTTGGAGCTATATTCAAACTAAGGTTGCTACCGTGGAGCTGTTGGTCGTATCCAAACTGATTCATCCAAGGATTTTGGCAACAGGGAGGTGGATAGTTTAGATTTGCCATAGATTGGGCCTAAAAAACTAACCATTAATGAATAGCATAATCTCATTAACTAAAAAACTGACTTGTTGAACAGGCATGAAACCATGGTGGTGGTGATGGTGCATCATTGGATTATTTACATTAAAACTGGAAGAATGATCAGATCCGTCTCTTTCAGAAGGAGGATAGGATATATTACTCAACTTCCTGGAACTTCTTCTACCAATATCAGAGCCAGAAATACTTCCTGTTCGAGATCGACCATTCCACTGACCTCCTTCTGCGTCGGGATAGCCCATATCTCTGTTGAAATTCTGTTAACATAAAATATCAGTTATTAAGGTAAATATATAGTTTTTACTTCTTTTCTGTTTACCTGATCGAAATCTGATAAATTCGAGACAGTTCCTCGCATGGCAAGCTGGTGTTGTCTGTAACGTTGTTGCAGTGATGGACTTGGGCTAGGAACTAGCCTTCTACTGCTGTCGAATGAAGGTGCAGAGACTTCTGACTGGAAAGCTAAAAGAAAGCAAGTATAGAGGATTTTGAATATTGATACAAAATAAGTTTTTGGTATTAATATTAAAAGTAGCAATAAAAAATGCTAATGTGCACATTAAAACAGTCTGTTGAAACCAATTAAGATAATTAACGCATATAACTCAAGCTAAAGCGTATCGGACCTAAGGTTAGCTAAATAATGGCGAAACTCATGATGTAAAATCGCTCCAATTAGAAGAAATCAATACAAAAAACAAAACGAAGTTAAAAACGAAAAACGGATGAATGAATAATAAGAGAAACATTAAAGGACAATACAAAATTAATTCTAGAACCTTTTACAGAAGTACCTACTAATGAAATATTTACTTAATTTAACTTTGCTCTACGTTTTATTAGAAAAATTATTTTTCATTTTTAACTTATTACACAAAATGCATCATTAAAAACAAATGAAAGTGTTTAAAAGTACTCACGACTAGAGGGCGGTGGTGGCAGGGGTCTATTTCCTAGAACCTCTCGTTTCAAATTGACGAATTTATCTTTCAAAGATATACCATCCTGACTTTCCCTTCTAGGCATTGTGGAGGACCTGTTCACCTGAAAAAGAAGAATATTATCGCTTCAAGATTTTACAATTTACTTCTTTTGGTTAACCTAATTTGGAAATATGTAAGGGATGTTGTGAGGTGCTGATTTTGTTCTTTGTGAATTTGAAAACATTTCAGATGTTTTTCGCGAATGTGTTTAATGATGGTGAGGCTTTAAATTTAGACTTAGAGTTACAGAGTTACAGAAAATCCATCTGAAAGCAAAAAATGATGATAGCGAAAAATAGATGTACTTTCAAAATATTGAAACATTTTAAATGTATTCAACAACAAACAGATTTTATATAAATCAAAGAAATCTTGAAAACATAAAACATTAAGAACATTTTTTATTATTTTTTTGCTTTCAGAATTACTACAACGAAAAAAGACACTCGTTTACCTGAGGATGTCTGCTAAAAGTAGGACTTTGGCAGGGAGAGGGTCCTATGGATCCGCCTCTTCTGTGACGTCTAGGGGGCGGTACTGGTGCGGAAACTGCTTCTCCTTTGGGCGGCAATGGAGGTCTAATAGTCTGTTCAAGTCTCTAAACAAAGAAAGTCAGTCGTATTTTATCTTGACATGCTAAACATGTCTAAACATGAATACATTTCTTCAAGTAATACTTACTCTTCGTATATGTGTCTGTCGTTTAGGATGTCTGTGGTACATATCATCACAGGAAACACAGAATACCTGTTTGCATTGCTCACAGTGTATATTTGAAGCTGAAGAACCGCACAATTGACAACGATGTCCCTCTGGCTTTTTATCTGTATCAAAAATAATTTTTATGTAATCTAGTAAGACGAACACTAAAAAGGTCTTAAATCTTGTCAAAAGCTTAAAATAAATGCGAACTTACGATTTACATTCTTCGCTGGCAATGGTGGTGTGGCATTTGAATACTGACCGAATTCTATCACTTCGTAGTCTGGTTCGTCCATTTTATGCTTGTGCTTCGCTTGTTTCATCATTCTATCGTCGTTTGGTACTGGCGGGGCTGGAACACCACTGCCCGATTTGTTCTAAAAAGAAAAATTCTTAAAGAATACAACAGTTTAGTTGTATACACTTAATTTAAAATACAACAAATATGTACAACAAAAGAGTTGTTGTCGACTATACAGTCCCTGGCCATATTATTATGACCACCCATTGTATTCAAGAAATTTATATTTAAGATTTTTGTTCTAGAGTAAATATATGCCGAATTGGGTACCTTATTCATCAAATATTTTATAAGAGTGTAAACATTTCTCGAGTCAAGGTCTAAGGTTAGTGAAAGAGCGCAAAGTGATGCGCGTATAAGTTAGCGCGCATTTTCACTTGTGCTACCGTTTACTCTGGACCGCAAGCTGCGTTTAAAAGACGTGTTATTTTAAAATTTTCACCAATTGGTAAGCTTTCTAAATAATATTATTATAACTTAATACTCTATTCTTATAAATTCGAGGTTTTTTGTTAAAATAGTTGTTTTTAAAATGAGGTTTCAACTTTCCCTCGTTTTAGACATCAGGGAAGAAAAAAGGTCTCTCACCTAAAAAAATTGGATAAATTAAAGCACTTTAATGCATGGAAATCTTTCCCAATGCCAAATTGCTTTAAAAATTCAAGTTTTCAAGATAACTGTGGCAAATATTGCGCGAAACTTGCAGAATGATGGGACCTTAACACCGAAACGTAAAGGTAAATATTGCAGAAAACAAGTTATTATACCACGTGAGGCGCGAAATTTAGTCAAGATTATAAAGGAGGATAGATTACAAACAAATAAAACAATTACAGAAAAGTTTGTCGACGGTGGCGTCCAAGTATCGACGCCTACAGTGCGTTGAAAATTAATGGAGTTGGGGTTCAAAAGCCTACGTCTAGCTAAAAAGTCTCTTCTTACAGAAAATATGAAGAAAAAAAACTAGCCTGGGCAAAGAAATACGAAAACTTTTGAGCATGAAATACAAAACGGAAAAAGATTTGGCATTTTTATAGTTTGCAAAACATGATTAAACTGAAATTTTTCATTTTTGACAAGTTTGCTTCAGTGACGAAAGTACCGTTAAAATATTAACCAATAAAGCTCAATATATTAAACGAAGACCAGAAGAAAAGTATTTAAATGAATGTGTTATTAAAACTGTAAAACATCCAACAAAAATAATGATGCGGTCTACTATTAGCGGCAAGGGACTTGGTAGACTTCAAATAGTTAAGGGGAAAATGCGACAAGATCAATACATATTAATATTACAGAATAGACAGGCAAGATGAAGCACCATGTCATACTGCAAAATGAGTGAAAAAATTCCTGGTTGAAAATGGTATTCCTCTCTTGGACTGGCCGGGAAATTCTCCTGACCTTAATCCCATAGAAACTGTTTGGGAACTTCTTAAACGGGAAATTCCCAATGAAAAAGTCACAAACAAAATTGTTTTAATTGAAAAACTGATATATCATTGGAACCATAAAAAACTGAAGCAAAGTGCCTTTGGCTTTAAACAAAATATTAAAAATTATATAAATATGTAATCTTCTCAAATGTTTTATTGCTGTTTATTTTTAAATATATCGAAGAAGTCGATTTTTGTAAAATCATAGGTGGTCGTAATAATATGGCCAGGGACTGTAAATACTAGTAAATAAGAATAAGATGCTTATATTCCACACCTATCCTAGCAGAATTGCTTACGCTACGACCCTGTTTTTTTGCCGCCACTGGATCCGTCAAATTATTTGAGAAACTGCAGTAGTTAAGTAATTTTTAAATGTTATGTCATAATATAAATATTAACGTTTTTGTTTTATTATAGCATCAAGTAAATTGTTTCTAATAAATTGTTAAGAATAGTAAATGATAATATTAAAATAAATCAAAAATAAGAATTTAAAATGTGCCGCTGCCAAAAATATTGCTGTAATTGTGTTTATAAATCAATATAATTTTATAGTAGGAATTTTAAATTAAAATGCTGTCTTGTTTTCGGAAGAACATTAAATAATTAACATACTCTCTGAATATTTATTATATTATTATTATTATAGGCAATGCAAAGTCGATAAGCTTGAATCGATTACAATCGAGATATCGATTGCAATAAAACCCACTTGTTAAAAATTTAAATTAGGGATTTTTAAAAATTGAACGTTGTTGCCCTGCCACTGTTTTGACTTTTTATTGTGTTATGGTGAGGTGTTTAATATGGCGAACGAGTTGACAAAGCTTTGACAGTTTATATTAATAAGAAAAGTTTGTTTTTACATGAATTTTTCATGACGATGTATACCCTACCGAATTTTTGTCGTGTGTGCCTCAAATATGATAAAAATCTCATAGATTTAGCACACATAGAAAACGAGCCAGGCGAGGCATTGATGACTAAACTTCAACACTGTGTATCAGAAGTGGTGTGTATATTATTTATAACTATTAATTATGCTGTTAAAGTTTGATAGTACGTTTGAAATGTAGCCGCAGATGAAAGAATTCGTCATCTTTGACGCTGTTTATTTTATATGTATCTATATTGTAAATTTTTTAGTTAAAACTTTCAATTGCAACACTAAAATAGTTGTGTTAACAAGTAGTTGTTGATTTTATCAATTGCAATAGGTTATTATTTATTTTTTAATATACACAAACCGTTTATTTTGTATTTACTTATAGAATACTTTAGACTTTATTTAAATTTACTTGTTTTTAACTTTTAAGCAGCTTGAAAGTATAGCCAGATATACTATACTATGATTCACCACTTGATAATAAACAAATCTCAAAGTTGTAATTGTAGAGGTACATAAATAATAATGAATTATGAATCATATGAATAATGATTTAATCCAGAGCAATGTGAATTATCTTAGTTCCACATTAGAAAAGGAAGCTGAGAATGTAAATTCATAAATTAAAGGTACATTAATGGTCAAACAATCAGTAGTTAAGCTTTTTAGCTTCAAAATAAAAGAAAACAGAGTTATTGAGTTGATCGTATTCATATAAATGAACTTAGCAACCCTTTAGGATTGCCAATCCTAACAACAGGTATATGTTATAATAAGTTGTAATAATTGTTCAAAGATTGTTATTCTCCATTCCAGAAACTCACATTGTATATGTATGATCGTTTTTAATAGAAAATGAGGAACTGAAACACGATTTATGTGTGTTATTAAATTAGAATTCTTGGATACATGCCAAAGAGGTTAAAAGTAAGTCACAAACTTTTTATGCTTTCCTATGCTGAAATACTAAAGTTTTTTGATCTCAGCCTCAAATTGTCCCAGTTTATCCTATCGTATGTTTAGAATACCAAGTTATTGTAATATAAATATCTGTTATTTTAAAGTTTAATTAATTGTGTTATTTTTGTTTAAGATTTGATACAATGTTCTCACAGACAATTTTCAAACCAAATGGCACTAAAATTCATTTTGTTAGTGAAACAAAGAAAATATATCAAACAGTTTGTTAAGTTTGTACATTAGAATAAATTGCATATATCCTTAAGAGTTTGTAATTATATAAAACACAGATAAACATTAATTCTAATAAAATGTGTATTGTATACCTGTCAGACAATTACACAATAACTCAATTTTAAAATGCACTACACATGTTATAGTTAACTGTTGACTTTTTCGCTCAGTTTTTAAGTTTGATTATTAATAATTATTCTGAATTTAGACCGTTCAAATGACAAGTGCTTAACACATTTTTAATATGCAGTGGGTTTGAATTATAACGAACACACCAAGTGCACACAATCTGTATTGAGAGCATCTATTTTCATTAACTGAACGAAATCAAAAACATGTAAAGAATTGAAAGCACACACTTAACTGAACGGCAGTATGTGAAACTAATGATCTCAATATGTGCTGCAAGACGAATTTATAATAGATGGGTGAGCGTGTGCTTTGAACATGCTTTTAAACACGCGTAAAAAGGTGTTAAGGTATGTTTGCATTTATTTATTTGTTTATATATGGGCATTACCAATTATTCTAGAAAATTTTTAAAATATGTAAATAGTTTAGTTCGGATTTAGTGTTTTAACAGATGAAAAAAACAAGAACAAAACATACAAACAGCATTAACACATACATTATATTTTTAACTAAAATTACATAAAATAAAAGTCAAACAAAAAATTCTTCTGAAATAAACAATCAAAGATAATAGAACAAAATAGAAACTGTAAAACAAATATTATTCTACTGATTAGTTTGGGCCGTGAAAGCCTTTGTAAAATGATAATAACTGGTAAATATATTTAATTCTGGTGGGCCATTTGCCAGATGAGTTGGTCTAGAGTTATATATGAAATATCACCTACATTTATATGAAATATATATGGATAAAATACATTAAATGATCTAGGATTTCTAACCAGAACCACTATATTAATCCTGCTCAAAAGATACAGGTATATATACCTTTGTCAAGTTTGTTGGATGTCGAAAACACTTTCATTTTATATTTAGAAGCTAAAAGACAAGAAGCCGCACAGTTTAAAACACATGCGAAGAGAAAGAAAATAACTATTCCATCAGAACAAAGTACGGCCCATTCTAAAATTAGTTTAAAAGATCTAACTGAAGTATCTATTTTCACGCTTCATTAAGCTTTTGAGCCAGAAATCATAGATGATTCAGAGAAGGACATTGTTTTGGAAGACCACTTTCTACTAGGCAGTGATTCATCAGAAGATGAAATAAAAGAGCTGCAAGAGATGGAAAAAGAAAGCGAATTTAAGGAAAAATTCGCCTCAAGTTCTCTTGGAACAAATATTGCTGAAAAAGTAAAAAACTCTGAATTAGATGTTACAAAAAATATTGTGGAATGCTTTTCTATGAAGATCATGTTTACTCTGGAGTGATAACAGCAATAGAAAATGATGGAGTGATGATCAATGCCATAATGTTAAAGTTTTGGGAACGAAATATGGTATTCATGGGACAATGTAATGTGGCGTCATAAACCCTCTAATTTTTAGACGAGGATTATACATTGTTCCAGAATGTGACAAATTGTGGTGGGATTAGTTTCAAACTTTGTATCTTTACTATTGTCATTATAATAAAGTTTGTTCACTTAAAAGTTAGCAATGTTCTTTACTTTTATGCTTATTTTATAAATGTAAGTAGGTTTCAATTGAAAAACTGAGCTGACGAACGTTTTTTTGCATTTAATTGGTGCAAAATTTAAAATCCTGTGGGATTACTATGCACCAGTGAGGATTTCACAGCCAAATATTATTAAAAAATCGAGTGGATCACTTTTCCAGGGTATACTTTGCACCACTAATAAAACTAGGTTGTTCTTTTAATTATGTAATATGCCTAAAAAATAGCCATACTTCGAGCTATATACAACCTGTTCAATAAATATTTAGAATAAAAAGTTGATTTTCTTTTGAGTCATTCGAAATCCACTCTAAGAAAATAAAACCAAAAAAATGGTGCAAAGTATACATTCTTTTATGTATTAAACCATGCTATTGTTTTAGGAATGGACTATATTCAAACCTTTATTGTGCCATCCCTGTGTTAAAAGACTGAATGTTGCATATAGTTTCAAGAAGCAATGCACCCACTCAGCGGGAGTGTTAAAAAACTACATAGAACTGGTAAAAGAATCTCAGAAGAAAAATGAATCTCAAAATGTACTAAAAACAGAGGCAGTGATTCCCCAAGCAGCGGCAGGAACTTTCATGCTGCTGCCAAACCAAAAATATGTTAAGATCTTAGTGGGAGGACAGAACCAAGGTGCCAATACATTCCAAAATGTATTTTTGAACCTCATACCTGCGAATGCACTGAATCCCGTGGTTAATGCGCAATCAGAGACTAATGGAATCAAGACAACGGACACTAACCAGAATGTATTTTTGAATTTAAACAGCACATTCCAGAAATTTATTCCACTACAGACACCTGATCTTCAAATAACTAAAAAACCCCCAGAAGAATTGCAGAAACCTCCCAATGTTAATGTTAATCAGATCTTGACTGAAACGAAAACAGAGGAGTTGAGTGTGGAGATAGATCCTACCATATTTGGACTAGAAGAAGATGAGGATAGTTGTGATCAAGAGGAGGCCAATGACTATGACGAGGTTATTTCTCAGGCTAAGATTAACTTGAAGGATTTGAAGGAGAATGGAGAAAAAGTTCAGAATGGCAAAGATGAATCAAAATATTATGTTCCTATACTACCTAAGTCTCAAGAAGATTTCTTCTCATCGGGTAAGTAAATATTATTTTTTGTTTCTGAACCGGCTAGTTATTTGAATACAGTTATATAGGGTCTTAGTAAATAACTGCGACAAACTTTAGAGGTTGATTCTACAGGAAAAAATAGTTTGGTATATAAACATATATGTCCCGAAATGATTCGTTTTCCTAGATATCGGATGTTGAAATTTTTCTTACCAAACTGACGATTTATTTATTGCTCTGGGAGGTCAAATTTTGGTTGGAACACACTGTATAATGATAATATGGGAGCTCAGAAAGTAGCAGTAAATCCTGTATTGAATAGAAGAACGAAACACATTGATATCCAATATCATTTTGTCAAAGAAGCTGTAAACAAAGGTTTTATAAAGCTGGAATATTTAGACACAGCTAACATGCCAGCTGAGCTCTTGACAAAAAGCTTGAGTCCCGTTAAACATAACTTTTTGAAAGATATTGGTTTAATTAAAATTTTGTAAGAAACGTTTATTAAACGTTTTTTATTTTTTTATCTAGTGGATAAGTGTTGGATATAGAGAAATAATTTAAATATTTTCTAGCAGTGCCATCTAGTGGCTGCTTTACTAGTTGTGTCCCCTTTATATTTCAAGGTATTAGCAAAAATACTGCCATAGAGTTAACACATGTTTTGTATGTTCATCAAATCTCCATTTTTGTTCCACAACTCTATAATTTATCAACAATTTGCTATCTATTATTGTTTACACATTTAACACGTTAAGTGCCACAATGTATCATAAAAAAAGTTGGGTTGTCCAAAATATTAAACACGTTTACGACATTAGTTTATGTATTTGAAATAGTTATTCTTTAGTTTGAATAATGTATCTAACGTTGTTAATATATTGTGTCTACATGGCTGAACTAAAACTTTTATTAGGATAGTACTTCTCTGATTCTGTATTCCTTCTTGAAGACATGAGTTGAGTCCTTATCAGTAGCATAATCCAGACTTATTTTGTATTTTTTTTTATTTTAGGTCAACACTTTCTGTTTGGTCCATCGTCAAATCAAGGAGGTTTCAATTGCGAGTCCTGTCAAAAGCCTTTCGCCAGTAAGAAGCTTCTCAAAACGCACATAAAACAGTTCCACTTAGGCAAACTACCTTTTAAATGCGAGTATTGCTATGGGGAGTTCACCACTAGAGCGGAGTATGAAATGTGCGTGAAAACGCACAAGAACGAAGGAGAAGCTCATAGCGGGGCTCTTACGTTACAAGATTTTAAAAGTTCAGGTCCCTTGGGTGATATTCAGTTGGCTGACCTCGCGGGAAATATAGAACCGACTGAGAACGGGGACTATCTTTGCGACGTATGTCAGAGGCCGTTCTGCAGTCCCACTGGCGTCCTGAGGCATAAAGTGCGTAAACACAACCAGAAAAATAAGAAAAAATACTTCATCAAAGGCATGAAGAACGCCAAGTGCGACATTTGCAACAGGGAGTTCTCCACACAGTCGTACATGCAACTGCATCGGAAACTTCACCTTCGAGACGACGTCGGCTGTAAGTACAAGGTTTTCGGCAAAAGCAAATATGGCGACATCGATAAAACACAGCTGATGCACGAACGAACCAGTTTCGATCATTCGAAAATAGAGAACCTAGACGTCACGCCTGATATCTTTACTGAAGATGACAGCAATGATGAGTCAAAGTATGATCCCTCGACAAGCACTGACCATAGATCGATGGATGAAACGGCAGACAAGATGGATGTCGAAGAGGATGACAATCTTACCGAAAACGAGACGGATGAGGACGACGAAGACGAGGATATGGGGAAACAAGACTCGAATCCAGATGAAAATAATGTGATAGTAGAAAAAAAAGATGAAAATTTAAGTGATTGAATTGGTAAGTACTGTTATCAATTATTGTAGACACTTAAACTTTCACATATTAAGTCTTATGATCAATTTAGATACAGGTAAAGATAGTGCAAACACTCTTGACCATGGAGTTGCGCGAAGACGGAGTCAAAATTCACATAAAGGTAGAAAGGTTCTATTGTAAGTGGAATTATACAGTGCATAGTACAGTGCGTTTCGCGTGGAAGTTAACCAAATTTCGTCTACTGCGCCGTGGTCATGAGTGTTTGCACTACCTCTAAGCGACTAAAAGAATAACTAGAATTGTCAAATTATTTATACTATTCATCTTAACACAAGAACTGGTGAAATATGGTCGTATCATTTACGCATGGGGTCGACGTGATGTCGTGTATTGTCCGTCTCCAGAGATCTCTGTCTCTGGTCATTTCTTTTAATTCATACATAGGTCTTTGGCATATTCCTGTAATTTGATCTATCCATCTTGTTGGGGATATTCCTCGTGATCTTCGGCCTTCTACCTTTCCTTGTATTATGAGTCTTTCCATGTTTTCTGTGTTTGCTCTCATAACATGCCCAAAATATTTTAATTGTTGGAGATGGACTTTACTAGAGAGTCGTTGGCTAACTTTTAGCTCTCTTAAAATTGAATTATTTGTTCTGCGGTCGGTCCAAGGAATTCGTAACATTTGTCTCCAACAGAACATTTCAGTGGCGTCTATCTTTCTTCTCTCCGATTGTCTCAGAGTCCAAGAATCACATCCGTAGGTCAGTATTGGGAATATTAAGCAGTTGATCAACCTCATCTTTATCGCTCTTGAAATTTGACATTCCTTCCATATTTTGGTCATTTTTGCTGTGACAACTTTTGCTAGATCACATCTACGTTTAATCTCTTCTTGTAATGACCCTGTGTTTGTGATTAATGATCCCATTGAGTATGAGCTCACAACCTCGAACCAGTCAATTGTGGTTATGCGTGGATGATTTTTGTGTAGTCTATCCACTATCATGATCTTTGTCTTTGATATGTTTAATTGCAGACCAAATATTTGACTTTCGTTTTCGATCAGTCGTATAAGTTCCATCAGCTCTGCTTGACTATTTGCAAGAAGGGCTGTGTCATCTGCGAAATGTAGGTTGTTTAGTTTATGACCATTTATTGAGATGCCCTTTTCCCATCCTTCAAGTGCTCTTCGCATAATATACTCTCCATATATGTTGAATAATTGTGGAGATAGTATACATCCTTGTCTGACACCCCGTTCTGGATGAAACTCGTTCGAAAGTGTGTCAAGTACTTTAACTGATCCAGTAGTGTGTTCATATAGTTCAGTTATAAGCGTAATTAGATGTTGTGGTACACCTACTTCTTTTAGTATTCGCCATAAGTGTCTCCACTTGACCCTGTCGAACGTTTTACGGTAATCTATAAAACAGATGTATAGTGGGATGTTGAATTCCCTAGATTTCTCGATTATCTGTCTTATATTCAGCAGGTGATCTCGAGTGCCTCTACCTTTGGTAAATCCAGTTTGCTCTTGTGGAATTTCTCTTTGAAGGAATGTTTTCACTCTCTCATTGATTATATGTAGCATTATCTTGCTGGCATGGGATATAAGAGAGATAGTTCTATAATTGTCGCATTTATGGAAGCTGCCTTTTTTATGCATGGTCGTTATTGTAGATTTTGTCCAGTCTTCAGGCCATTGTTTGGAATGCCATATTTGGTTACAGAGTAGATGAAGTAACTTTACGCCGGTTTCTTCTGTGGCTTTAAGCATTTCTGCTGTTATCATATCTGGACCTGGTGCTTTGTTATATTTGAGCTTGTTGATAGCCTGTCTTACTTCATTTTCGAGTATATAAGGTTCTTCTTCCACCTCGTCAGAGATTTGGCTAACAAGCTCTTGGCGTTGATCATCTTTATATAGGTCCCTGCAATACGATCTCCATGTCTCTGTTATGTCTTCTCTGTTTGTTCTCAGGGTTCCAGTGTTATCTTCAATGGCCCAAGTTTTGGCTCTGAAGTCTCTTGTCAGGTAGCGTATTTTTCTAAATAGATCTCTCGGCTGATTATTCTGACCATGTCTCTCAATTTCTTTGCATATACTTTGATAGTACTGTTTTTTGTCGGCCTTACATCTTCGTTTTATTTCTTTATTGAGGTTCCTAAACTAGCTTTTTCCCTTTCACTATGTACACCACTTTTACAAAGATTTCTTCTATATGGATAACAGAACTTATATAATAGAAGCGCAGACAGTATTTTCTTTTCTTCTTCCTTCTTCTTATGTTAGATCTTAGGCCTGTTCATGTCTGATCTTAAGGCTGTAATAATTATATTTGTGACGTTGTCTGTCAGCTCTTTTGCTATCTTTGAAACGGTCTGTCTGGTCGCCTGGTGCCCTTTAGATTTAATTCTCTTTCTATTCTGTCTAATCGCTCACTATCAATTTGCTTGACATGTTGGTTCCAGTAATGTCCCTCTTTCTGCACCATCATACAATATCCTGTATTTTACAGTTATGTCTTATTTGCGATTTTATCGCATATTTTATTATTGGTCTTAGACATGATGTATAATATAATATTTTGACAACATAGTATGCGTGAAAACCATACTCAAAGACCACAAAAATTAAATGTATGGTCAGATATAGTAGTTACTTATTCAATTGGGTCATTTTTTGTCGAAAGAAATTTAACGTCAGATAGTTGGTGTAAATGTTCGGCGATATTTAGATGAGATATTTCCTGGACGATAAATTGGTAGACAAGGTAGAATTGAATGGCATCCACGTTCACCCGATTTCAATCCTAAAGATTATTTTTATTAGGGATACTTGAAAAATTCAGTTTACAAAACTTAACCAGCAAGTCTTGCAGAGCTAAGGCAACGAATTATCAATGAATCTCGAATAATTTCTAGACAATCATGGAGAAATGTGGTAGACGCCTTCTACCATCGATTAGGGTGCTGTCAACTCACAAATTGAGCACATTTTGAACACTTAATAACGTAACTACTATGTTAAAAAATGTTCTAAACTATCAATTGTTACGTTTTAATGTATTTGAAAATAGTTAGTATTAAAAAATTTATTGAAACAATTTAGGCGTTGCCAGACTGCGGTTTTATGTATTTATGACCTTTCAGATTACATAAAATCATAAGTGTTACATATGGTTGAACTCGTATTGAATAGGAGATTCCAATAATGACTGAATATACAGGGTGATGTATTTGAAAAACCAAAGTTATTAATAATATAAGAAAAACTGCAAATCTGGCAACATTGTAAATATCAAATATGGAATCTCCGTATCCCAAAATAGGTGTACCTCAAATTTTGTACAATTATGATTATCATTTTACGAGATAATTAGCCGTTTCCAGACTTTTGGGCCACTCTGTATTTACATTTCGTTTACTGTTGATTACTGTCTTATTATTCGACCTTGTACTGTTAAAACAATAAGCAGCGGCATTGGCTTCATGCGGCCATTAGAACTTCATCTATGTTTTATGGTTGCGAGTAGCATATGTGGCTCTTCAAAATATGCAAAAAACGTACGGTTTACTGAATAATATGACCAAAACTTAAAAGTATTTATGTTATATCGAATTGTGCACAAAAAACATAATAGCCAGAGGGATCATTTTTTTACATACCATTGTGGCAGCCAAGGTGTTAACTAAGGGATAGTATTGTGAAAAAATAGGAAGATTCTCTAGTTATTTCTATATGTTTATAATCAAGAATATATTAATTTTTGATTATATTTGAAAAGTAATTACACAATACTAACCATTTCTTTTATTTTCTTTCTTTCAGAGCTTTCTGTATCGTTAATATTAAGAGGTATATATCAGTATCGCCGGTTCGGATTTGCCCGAACGTGACAACCTTCTATCCCTCGATTTGATGGAAGGCACAACAATAATTGACATGTCTATCATTAGTGTTCTGCAAGAACAAAAAATCTTTAACCATATGCTCAATAACGTATAAATTTTCCTACAAGTGAATAGACTCTTTATTGTGATGTTTATGATAGACTGTCGATTGCTTTGACCAGTTTTTAAAACCGTAATTACATTAAGTATCGTTTGAAGTGATTCCCAAGCGGAGAAGTGAATTATTTTGTGAATTATCACAGATATGTCTCAATTAAAACTTACCTTATCTGTTTTGTTGAGTCTTTCCATATGCCAAAGTGATAGTTTTTTAGAATTTGGATGTTTAAAAAGTACAAATTGTTCATTAGATATAGATGTGAACGGGGTCTATTACGTTCAGGCACAAATATAGTAAATGTTTTCTAATAAAATATGCATATTTACTTAAACATTTACTTACATAAATTTCTAGAAATGCTTACAATACTATACACTACATATATACTTGATTCCGTACTTATATCGCAAGTTGAAGTTCTTAACTTTCAGTTACACACTTTGGGCCATTTTGAATATCTAACACAATGTCTTTTATGGCATCAAAATAATTAGCGTAGAAAATTACTGCTATAATCCATGTTAACCATATTGTAATTACGGCTTTGGAGGCAAGCTTACACTTGGTAATTTTTCCTCATAGATTTGCACACGTAAAGGTGCTTTTCAAAATACTATTTTAACTTTTAAATTTAATTTATTGACTAAATCAAATTCACTTCAAGCAGAAAAATAGCCTTAACTCCGACTATAACTACCTTTACTTTAAACAAATGTTTGTCGGAAACTGACAAAATAATTAGATCCCTAAAAGCAGGTAGATACCTACCTACGACTTGCTACGCTAATAAAATATTCTTTTTCTTCTTCTTCTTTAAGTACAGTCTCCCAATCGAAGGTTGGATATCATCATAACTATCTTTATCTACTGCTTCTCTAAAGAGTTCTATAGAACTGCATTTATACCAGTCCCTTAAATTCTGCAACCATGACACACTCCTTCTTCCTACACTCCCTCCTCTTATCTTTCCCTGTATTATCAGCCTTAGCAGTTCATATC